CGTGGGTGTGACGTCTTCTGTGCATATAAGATGACAGCGTCTCAGATTCACACTACGATCAAACAAGCAGTCTTTGAGGAAACAGCTGAATCTTTTTCCTCCTGGTTGCCAAAAGGGATATTAACCATGTTCTCAGCCTGTGGGTTGCCCTTTTGTTTTCTGCAGAAAACCTAATATTTGCTTTTCATACATTCAGATAACATAAAGTGAACTGAAACATGCTTTAAGCCAGAGCTGGAGATGTTTGCTTTCACTTCAGTTAAACCAGGCCACATAGAGCAAGTAGGGAGTTAATCTCTTCTGGGCTCCACCCTGCTTTCCCTGAGCAGGTCACCAAATTAGGTTGCCATATTTCAGCCTAAAAAAATTCAATACGAGCTATGATGTTATAATCACATCTGTCAACATGCCGCCCCCACCAGCTGCTGATGTTAAGTATAGGAGTGTGTGAGTAAAACAAACGCTTTTTGGTGGTCGGCTGCTTTTTTCTTTTTCTTTTTGTGTTACAAGCTAAAACACAGACAAAAACACACAGATCTTGAAGGGTTTCGACAACGTGTTTTCCCTCATTTGGAGACTCATAAAACAACTGCAAGGTCACAGCTCAATCTCCCAAAGCGTGTCTTTTAAGAGCTTTGTGCCGTACTTTGTAATGCACTCATGTAGTGACTGACAGAAATACAATAGAGAAACTATGTGTTGCCTGAAGGGGGGAATACACCCATATAACTACTGGGCAGCTGTTGTGGAGTGACATCATGCAGTACTTCCCAGGGCCATATTCTCTTATTCCAACCAGAAGGGCTTAACCTAGGGTTCTAGTTTCTCCAGGGGGTCCCAAGATAATTTTGAGGGGTCACAAATTCATTACAGGGACAAAGAAATATTTCTGTTGCAGAGAATGATGTTTAATTGTTCTGACTTTTCAATACTGGACACTTTCACCTCTTCAAAAAAGAGACAAAAAACTACTCACAATCCAGGGCCACACTGAAGCCATAACCTGTGATGGGGGTCACAAGCAGACATTGCTTAATTTTAAGGGGTCACAAGCATTTCCTTTCTTCGTCCTCCCCTGGACTTAAACCACAGCAGCTAACAATGAGTACAACAGACTATACGCCATTTCCAATATTGCTATGATTAATAAGAAGCTGATTCTAGGGCTGCAACTAATGATTATTTTTTACTATCAGTTAATCTGCAGATTATTTTCTCTTTATATTGTTGTCTATGAAACATCAGTGAAAAATGCTCCTCACAATATTCACAGCACAATGTCACACAATGTCCAGCCCAAACCCCAATTATTTACCTTAATGTAATAAAAGACCAAGAATAGAAGTAAATTGTCACATTTCACCTGAACTTTCTAGTTGACTCCTCAGCCAATATTACAAATATCAGGTTGCTGACTAATTGAGACAGACTCAGACAGATTTTTGTTGGGGTTGTAGCACTATTTTGTAATGACAGATTGATTTAATTTCAACTTCTCCTAAAAAAAGATTATCTCTCTCTTGTGCCTCATGTGCTCAACCTTACTGTTATCTCAGAGGAGCAACTTACAATGCCTCCTTTGAACAGATGGTGGGTGAGTTCTGACGCATCTGAAGAGGAAGAACCTTGATCTCTTTCCAGCTGTTTCAATGCTGCAGTGGCTCAGCTGAGTCTTAAACACGGCTAGTAAACAAACACAAATCTGCACAGTTTGAGTTTGTACAGATATCAATCACAAGCCACAGCAGTGTCTCACTTGCCTTCCCCTGCAGCAGCAACAGTAGTGCTAACTCTGGGTGTTAACAGAGATGAGATGGTGAGGGGGGTGGGTGAATGAGAGGGAGGGCTGCAGGTAGCAGTTTGCACAGCTGTAGGCTGTCCTTGCAGCAGCCATGTGTTTAATAGGGCCTCCTCTGATGAAGACACACCCTCTCTGTGTCACAGAGTTCCCACCTCACTGTGAGGCTTCGGGGCTTTCCGGATCCTACGAAAGTCCTCCAAGCAGGAAGCAGCGCACCACTCACATGCTCTGTTTCTGCTTTCCTTGCACGGCTGTCACTGTTCATAGTTCACACATTTGTTTTTTGTTTAAATACAATGTGAACATCTAACACAAGCTGTACGACAACCCCTCCCATTGGTCATTAATTTGTATGAGCTTTTAATCCAATTGCCTGGTTAAGTGAGGGTTACATTTTTATCTCCTCACCCGGAATGACTTATATTATGTTTTATCATTACTAAATCATTGAAGCATGATGCCAAAATCCAAAGGCAGACTGCAGGGTTTGCATTCTGTAGCACTAGCCGCAAGCACAAACAAGCCTACGGTTGCAACATACTGCAGCTTAATGTGCTTTAGGGAAGCTTCCACGAAGGCAAGCAGAAAACTAACAGGTTGGAGACGAATGCTGTTTGTATTAAAAGGAAGATCTAACTATGACAATTCCCGTGCCTAATTCATGAGCCGTTCTCCCAGGTTGGCTATAACCGTTTTCTGCCTGCAAATATCTGACAAGTTCTGGGTCAGACCGGGCTCATCCCTAATTGTCGAGACTTTATACCAATTAGTTCCTTCTCCGCGTATTTGGGGGGGGGGGGGAGCATACCTTCAAGCAGAGTGTAGTTAATGTGGTTGCAGCCTCAGAGAGAGCACAGCACGGCGTGTTGCTCAAAGTTAGAATCAGAGTGTTTCCAAAGACTTAGAGAGAGGTTGCAGATAGACAGAGGGTGGGCGAGCAGCAGGGATTAACTCCAGGCTGGCAATTTGAGGTTTATATGCCCAGCAAGCTGTTAGAAACTTCAGGTATGCACAACTCGTTCTTCTCCACCTCACTGTGGATTTCATTAATCACCACATCTGTTCGTTTCGCACAGCACACCCACGCTCAAATAACAAGCACTTCACAAGCCTTCCAATATGCAATTTTACAGTTCTAACTATAGCAAAACACTAGAAAAGAACATCCTGGCAGTGTGAGCAATTAATTGTAGATTGAAAATAGCTACTGCAATTACAAACCTGTTGAGCATTTGCACCATTTTATTTAGAGACTTAGACACAAGCACAACAACCAACCTTCTCACCCTTATTTCTTTGATAAAGCAGTTCTCCCAGTCAAATATATAATTTTACACGATATTAATTTTTATTAAACTCACACCAGGTATCTGTCCGTACAGGTTTCGAATGCAAGCATGAATAATAATAAAATGAAAGCCGAATCAATCTGCCAACAGCACTCAGCAGTCAAATTGTATTTCTTCCTTTATCCTTACACAATCTCATTTGTCTCAGCGAGCACTGATTTTTTGTTTATTTCACTGCATCCTCATTAGCTTCTGCAGCAGCAGTTGCTTTTCTTCCTGGGGTCCATAACCGAAATGGAACTCTAAAATATCACAGACATGCCTACGTATGGAACAAAAAAAAAATAAAGAAAAACTCAAGGTCAGGAAGGATACATCGCGTGGCTTCTAAATGCTATATGAATATGTATGAGACTAAAAGACAAGTTTAATACAGCCAGGTGTTTTGGAAAATATCTGGAAAATGCTCCTACATTTGTTTGTTTGAAGAGGTTGGTGTTGGGCCCAGGAAAAGACAGCAGCAGACCTCTGCTCACTTGGCAGGCTTGACATGTCTGGAGTATTAACGTTAGACTGAGGAGCAGTCCAGTGTCTGTGATCTTTAAAAATCTTGCTTTTTTAAAGTAAAGGAGTGAAATCGCAGCATTCAAGATGATTTCTTATTTTCAGAAGTTAAACTTTCCACATTCAAATTGGCCTTCTTTTCTCATTTGTTGATCCTAGAGGCTGCTCTGTCTCTAGCGTCTGCCCCTGTCAGACAGACTACAAGATTTATTAGAAGTAATTTAGCAGCGTCTTACTGACATTAATGAACTTCGATCATAGTCCAGCCATATTGCTATGCTATTGGTCCAAAATACAGTAACAGCACAGCATTTAACCCTCACAATCTGTCCATACACGTCCCATAAGAATGTGCCAACTAAATATGCAGAACTATTATCACTATGACTGCATTTTCTATTTCAGAATGATGTCTAAATTAAAGTCTTTTCAGAAGTACATAGGCTGTCAAAGTCCTATCTCTTGTTAACGGTCAGTGGAGGAAAACCTTAATGGTGTCTTGGTTCATTTAACTTTTCATTTCCACGCTTTGATTAGACAAATGTCAGACGTGGTACAGCGGTTCACCTCCTATACACAGTCTGCTCCAGGGATGCTGTTCCTGACCCTGACCTCTGACCTCCCAAGGGAGAGACCCTGCCTATGGAGATTCATGTAATATCCAAAGATTATTAAATTACAAACCACAACAACATTACAACGTAATACAACGCTACATTTATTAAATAAATATTAAACAACAGTCAAAATCTCAAGACATTGCGGAAAAAGCTGTAAAAGACTCCTCCTACAGTTACAAGTCTTAGCATATCCATCCATGATATATGAAGTACCAATACAGCCTCCGTTCACCGACATGTTGAAACTGGCTCAACTGCAGCCCATATAAACAAGCAGTCACCTGCCGAATATGAAAAAAACAATGACCATCTTCGTTATGAAGAATGTAGATGACAAGCAGAATAGATAAACGAGGGGAAATAAAGACCAAGAGGGGAGATCAGGACTGAAACTCCAAGCGCTTGTTCCATTAACCCACATTGACGCACCGGGTTGACTTGACTGGAGTCGCTGCAGGCTGTCAAGCAGAGAGCTCCCGGAATTTAAGCAAACGATAAACATGAACGAGGATTGTATTCACTGCCACGCTAATGCCGAACGCGCACCTGAAATGGACGGTTCATGTGGAAAACCAACCGTGCGCTGCTGTGCGTAACGGACAGGTAACAACGCGGCGTTGTATGTGACTGAAAAAATGACAGAACATTTGACGTTTTTCCGCGCGCCACATGAGTGTCAAGATGCAAAAGACGGCGGGATTTAAATAAAGTGATCTTATCACTCACCTTGACGGCTTCAACATTAAAGTCCTGAGAGCAGATTGTCTTGGAAAAGGCGAGGCGATGCTTCAGTGTTGCCGCCTGTCACCGGGAAGGAGGAGTTTATGTTTACTCCAACATAACAGAACTGGCTGACAGCACACGGATCCTCACCCTGTTCGGCGAAGAGAGGGAGCCACAGTCTGGCCACACACTTTATTACAACATGTGTGCTTCCCAGTGAGAGCTCTAGTTTGTCCCCAAGTGTCTTCAGAAATGGGTTGTTTTTATTATTGTTTAATTTATTCCATGTTGGAATACAACTTTGAGTTATGATTGGTCAAAAATACACTGACAATTATGATTAGAATAAGTATTTACAACGTCAAAAAATTATGTAGGATACGAAATAAAAAAAATGAGCTTTGTTAATTCAGTGACACACAGAGATAAGAGGATTGGAAGAAACATTTTGCAACAGCATTAACAGATTCTCTTGATGCTTCTTATCTACCAGGAACCCCTGAAGCTTTATGCTGCAGCTTCCCTGCTACTGGATGCTTCATTTTGTATTAGAAATTAATGGCACCAACCAGGTGGTATCCATGTAAAATGATGGCCCAGGGGAGCATGACAGTTTTCGGCGTGATTGTGTTCTTTATTTATGGTGTTATTTGTATTAGTGTCTCACATATCAAGTGGAAAAAACATATCCTCATGTCTTCTGTGAAATGATGATACCAAACCCTGTTATGGCTTTAGTGCTTCACTGATGACACATATATTCCTCTTCCAGTAACTTTTCTTTAGTGAGCAGGTAAATAATTAATCTGCATTATGTTTTATGACACTACAATTTCAAGAGCAGGACTTTGAATCCCAGACTGTGAATGTGGTTCCTTCAAAGTGGGTGTGTTTGTGTGTGTGTTTACAGACAACTAGAATTATTAAAAGTGATTTTTTAAAAAGGGTCTTTTACATGTCTTGAAGCTGTTTTATTTGGCTAAAATCTACTGTTAGTGCTGTTGTTTTTCTTCACAAAAACATTTCACAACCCTCACAGCACATTCAGACAACCCATAACTGGGATCAGACATGGCAGCGTTATCACTGTTGGGGGAACTGATGTCCCTACCATGACAACCAGCTCTGTCTTTTCCATTCAAACCAAAGGTCAGCCATAATCAAGAGATTTTATGACCAGCAGTCCACATTTCACTCCACCCAGGAAGGTAGCTCATATACAGAATCTTTAGAGGATCAGAGGGTCCTAATCTGCTTCTGAGGCTTCATCAGTGCTTTAGAGAAGAGACGCTGGGATTTAGATTTAACTAGTGCAACTGGAATACAGCGATAATGCCTTCCGCTAAGAAGACGCTACATTTCTTGTTCAGTGCGTGGGTTACTACTATGTCCGTTGGAATCCTGGGGTATGGCATGTCAAGAGAGTGGTCTAAGACAACCATGGAGTGCGCAAGAGGAGGAAGTGACTTCTTCAATGGAACTGCTGAGATCACTTTGGAGCTTTTTAGTGGGAATTTGGACAGAACCTTTTGTCCCACCTTTGGAGGTTCTGTTGGTTTTCAAGGTAACATTCCAAGGCTCCCAAAGGGCCAGCTCAGACAAATTAAAAGATATGTTCTCACGTACACGCCTCTAGAATCTAGCCAGGCTGATAGTTTCGTGTTACTCTCCCAGGTTTTGAGATATCTGTCTCTGAGATTTCCTGCCTCCAAACGACAGCTCTGAAACCTGTATTTAATTCAGAAACTCCAGATGTAGTATCTATCTAGTATCTAGTATAGTTAACAGGTCTATATACTAAAGTAGCTCCAAAGAAAAATCTTTCCAGAGAGACTTCAGTGACATATCTCAACATGTGGGCAAGTAAGCTACAATAAAAATGACCAGCATGGCTAGATACAATATATAATTATACTAGTGATAGAGTATAATGCATGTAAGCTTTACTTAATGATATAACCATAATGTTCCTGTACTCTATGTGTGTGTGTGTGTGTGTGTGTGTGTGTGTGTGTGAAGTGTTTCCTAAGTTGAAAGAAACAGGAGTCACCCCTGTAGTCCTCCACGCTTTGGCTGTGTGCCTGTTGGTCCTGTGTCTCGTGTTCTCTGCCGCCAGCATCCTTATCTCCCTCTACAACAGCGTCAGTAACCCTTATGAGACCTACATGGGGCCTGTTGGCATCTACGCCTGCAGCTCACTCTGTGGTAAGTGACACAAATGTTCAAGCTCTAAGCATCTGGGAGTAATAGAAGTGGAATTGCAAGAAAAAATCAGAATATTTTTGCGTTGCACTAATGACATTTTAGTGATGGTTGGGATATAATTTTGTACTCTTTCTCTCGCAGCATGTTTGTCTGTTGTGGTCCTTATCCTGTTTGTGGTGAACGTCAATCTGACCAACTTGGCAGAGGAATTAGTAAAGGAATTTGCCACCACTGAAGTGGACCTGAAGAACAAGTCTTCAGAGATGCAGCTAGGGTACTACCTCGTCATCCCTTACACAGTGCTCTCTCTCGTCGCCATTGTTTTGATCTACATGTACGACCATGCAGCCTACACACATAGGAGAGAACAGCAGAGGCCTACAGAGGACGCACCCAAGGAGATAATGATGTATTAATGGCCTGCAATGAAGTCTCTTTTCAGTGACATTAATAAATTGCCCGTCAAGACATTCTTGAGGAATTTACAGTAATGGAGAATAACAGACAGACATTGGATGTATGTAAAGTAAAATATCAATGTACAGCTTGTTAACAAATAATAAGAATATACATTTAACACATTATCATGCTTTTAATGTCTTTTTCTTGCAACAGTTTTATCATTTCAGTGTTTTAATCTGATTTGACCTGAAGTTATCGCATTGTATTGTAATTATTTGCTGATACTAAATGTTTACAAGTATGTAAATCTTTTTGAATTTGAACTGACATTCTAGAAAATCTATTTATTTTGTGTGAAAAATAATTAAACCGTTCCTGGTTTAATATGATGAAAACTTAATGTATTTTTTTTTTATAGATAAATGGCAGTCAAATGCGTTAAGTCTTCACTACATCAACATGTCTTACAAATCAACATATATACAGAAACCCAGTGACATACTTTGTGTGTTTTGTGTCTGAAACAATTAAGAAAATAAAATAAATACATAAAATAAGTGGATGTAAATAAACAGATGAGATGAAGTTGTTAAGGATTCCTTTTTATTTTAAAACATTCCTTTTAAAGGATGGATTAAAATAATTATTATAGCCAAGTTTTAAGAAATTCAGTGTTTCTGATTTTTAAAACGTATGCAGTTAAGGAAATCATAATTTTGTAAAAATATTTAGGTTAAATTAAAGCTGAGAAAAGTGGAAGAGGCCTGAGATCAATGGATCTCTGCTGCCCTCTATCTCTGAGATGATGTAAATGAAAAGAGACGTCTCATACCAAATTTCAAGTCAACACCTATCTCTGCTCATTTTCTTTTTAATGGTCTTTTTTAACCATGGTATATTTCAGTCAAATTGTATGACCAAAAAAAATATCTGTTACATTTAGGCTACACCTTGTGAATGAACAGTTGAAATACCTAAACTTTAGCCATTTCAGCCATTTATCAATTACTTCTTCAACTGGTTAGCCATCTATCCATAACATTAGGATCCATGTAATGATGAATATTTGGTTAAAATACCTAAACTCTATTATTTCAAATGTGTATCTATTACTTTTAGGAAACTATTTCAACCATTTCATACACTGAGTTGAGCAAATTATGTCAAGAGCATATTCATCACTCTTAGCTATTTCAGTTTTTAACCATTCATTTTGGTTAATTATTCCAACTGCTTGATTATCTCCTGTAACTCTTAGCTATGTACTTTTAGCTATCTAGCTATCAGCTTGAACGTGCTCTGAATTGTAACACAAAGTGTTTAGGTGTTACAGCTGGCTCAATCTGCTATAGTTATTAAATCTAATTATTCTATTTTTTCAAATCTACTCTACTCTATCTTTTCATGTACTGTACCCCCCTACTGGGGTAGTACCCTCTGACTGTGTGTGAACTATACCATGGCTTTTGAGTGAGCTCACTTTTTCACAGTATGCTGACTCCAAAACAGAGAAAAAAAATGAATAATGGCGATTTGACTGGGACTAGGAATAGTATATTTTCTGATCTCAAGTTAATGATATTGTGCCACACTTCAATGGTTGTGGCAAGAATAGCATTATCTTTATTAAAGGGAATTAGTGATGAATCACCCTCATGTACAAATCATCAATGGTAGACCAAGTTTACTTATAAAATGAAGATATAAAGAATAGAAATGCATGGCAAAATAGCATATTGGCAATACCTTAGAGACCCCCAAAATCATGTTTTCAGGGGCGCCAGCTAGATCTACGTCATTTTGACGTCACAGTGTCGCGCGACAGGTCGCAAACGGCGAGCATACTGAGGCCTTTATTAAGAGGAGCCCAGCTCCTCCTGGCTACCCTGCAGTTCACACCCTGCCCTCTGAATCCCTAACACAGGCCACGGGGATTACTTTACCTTTAGGCTACTAATTCATGACTCATGATAGAAGCAGTGCTTTGATTGAGCCCTTTTAACTCCAGTGATGCATTGCATCTTAACTGTATCCACTTCCATGTGGGATCAACTTGGAGAAGCCTTCATGAGAGAACGTATTACAGATCTGTTTAATTCATTTCAAAGGATAAAAAAAGCAATGCTGACATATATAGTGATAGAAACAAAGCTTGCTGAGTCTGTAGAAACTGAGATAGATCGTGCTGAAAGTCAGCTTCTATTGTCCCCTGGATCTTCAGACGCTCTCACAGCTGTGATTCACATGACTGTTGACATGAGAGCAGGGGCGAGGTGTCCTGTTACTGTTTCCCGTGTCCCATCACTCAGGGCCTAAAGTCTGTTTGGACATGCCCTTTCCAGCACCTCTCAGCCCCGCAACGCCTTCTACCTGCCTTCAAAAGAACCACTCTTCCTTCAAGTCTCACACTTCAAGGGACCTGTGGAAGGATGCAGCAATCTGCTTTGAGGTTGTCAGTGTGAATATGTATTAAATTTCTGAGAATGCATGCCTTCTACACTGAATCAAAAGCATTTCAGGCCTAGCAGAAGTTCTGCTAGCAGAACGCCTTGTGAGGAGTAAAAGTTTCATGTCAGGAGAACTTCTGCACTACTCCAATGTGTCTATTAAAGGAACTGAATTACAATGATCAGTATTCAGACTTTAACATTTACTTTCTCACCTGTCACTAAACTACTCCTGGCAACATATTCATGATGTAGGATGATGCAACTTGAGGTAACCCTGCAACTGTGACCCAGTGTGAAGCCAGGGCAGGTAGCATTCTCCAGAGGAGGCCACGTCAAAGCATGTTTCAGCGCAAACTCGCCTGCTGTGAAATTGATAAGCTCTTCACAACACAGCACAGATCTCTCAGCCATTAGAGACCCTCTTATTTTATTTTTCACCCATTGAAATTCATCATTGAGCCAGTCTGACCTCTGACAGACTGCAAGAACAAAATACTAAAACTTGACTTGATTAGATTTATAAAACAGTTCTTTAGTTGGGTGGCGCATATATGCAGCAGGTATCTTTACTTATCCCACTTTAGCCATGGTAGAGAAAGTGAAAAAGAAATAAAAGGCTCCTTATAGACATGAATAAAAGTGAATAAAATTTTAAATTGATGTAGGATCCCTCAATTCAACATCAGCCTCTTTAACAGCTGCCAGAGGAGATATTTAACTATATCTATTACCGATCTTCTCCTGTGTGCACCGAGGTGTGGAATAGCTGAATTGCTATTGAGAGACCCCCTCTCGCCGTTTGCTGTGCAAACATTGATTGAATAAAATCAGAGATGGGCAGCAATCTCTTCCTCTCTTCATACTCTCTGTCTCTTGGCTCACCAGAATGGATAAACCCGGGATTATGCAGAAGCCCTGAGCCCTGACCACTCACTCTGTGTGATAGGATTAAAGCGGAAACTTTTGTACCTGTGAAACCTTATCCTTCCAGGTCCCGCATTACAGAGGCCTGTGAAACAGACACCTCCAGCTGCAGGGCAGGGGGGCACACACTGAGCCACGAAGAGTCCACTCTAGTGGGGCATAGCGGGTTGGGGGAAGGGGTCTGGTCTCCTTCCACCTTTGAGAATTTCACATTGACAACTGAGAGGTATGGGTAGGTATATATATGTAGGGGGGTAGGGAGTGTCAACAACATTTGTTTTAACACTTTCACATCTTGAAAGGCTTCTCACGTATAAATACAACAATCCAGTCTTTTAAATTAAAACTAAATGTAAATAAAAAGCTAGATACACCGATGCCAAGACAATAGATACATTCAGAACAAGCCTCAGAGAAAATATTTGAGTCTATCAACCTGGAAAGTCCACTCATGCCCCAGAGCCTTTTTATTTGATGTCCTTATCACTGCTGAGTGACCTTCTCCCTTTACTGTGCCAGTAAGATATGTGTGTGACTCTCAAGGTGTGTCCCTATTACATTTTTTTTTAACTTTTATTTATAACATTTATGGCCCCACTGCCCTGTCTTAACGTCATGACTTAAGTGACAGTAAAAGTGACAGTAATAAAATGTCATGTAATGCTGATTGTTTGATATGTCTTAAGTGTTTGCATTTGCTCCTTTCTTTTTCTTTAAAATGTATCTATTTGAGTTGTTGGAGAAGACAACCACATTTCACTGGACTTTGTACCGGTGTGATTGCGTATATGAAAAATTTTAAATTTAATTATTGATTTGAAATTGGAATTTCAGTAAGGGAGAGGGAGGATTCACAGGGAACAGGTATAAGAGAATAACACCAAGTGATGAGAGGTACCTCGCTGTAAGGGGTGAGGTGTTCTCACACTAAACCAGACTGTGTGATATTGGAAGGTAGGCAGGTTCCCTACTTATCTCCGTCATTAATCTTAATTTGTCAGTGAAGGCTGAGGTGAAGGTGGAGGAAAGGAGAGAGGGAGGAGGAGGAGGAGGGCTAAAAGGTAATTGCACCCCTGCTGCTCCATTATGGTGTCATTCCACTGTTAACAAAAGATAAGATCTTCTCCAAATTACCTGAAGCCAATTCTCCACTTTACCTTGCTGGGACAGAAAGACAGAGAAAAGAAAGAGAAAAAGACAGAGAGGTTATCCAGCCTGGTTTCACAACCCATGATGGAGACAAACTGAACTAATCCATCTGTACAGAACCTTTCTGACCAATCTGTCTGTATGGTAAGAAAATCTACGTCTGATGCTGGAATGACGGTTCACTGCCAGATTGATGGATGGAGGGAGGGGGCGAGCACTTTCTCTGCCCCATGCCGCTTGACACCATTGTTGATTAATGCACCCCTGATTGGCAGGTGTGATAGATATCAGTGGATGCAACGCATAGGGACACACATTTAACCTACTGACACAACATATGATTCAACTGAATTGGCGCCATTTGACGGAAAATCAAACAGCAAAATAATAGCAATACTGCTGAGAATTTCTGATTTTGTGCATATTAACTAAAATCCTCTCTATTTCAGACAGATAGAAGATTAAAGATAAATTATTAGGGAGATTGAAGAAAAAATATATAGGACTGTTAAAAAAAGTCTAAAATGTTTCCTTATATGTGCAGACATTCTGGTGTTATTAGTATCATGCTGACATGATATTGAGTCTGCGAATTTTACATATTTGCATATCTTAGCTGTATACAGAGCTGTCTGTGGCCTATTTCTGTCTAGATAGGATGCCTATGAGGACTCATCCTCTCTCATTTTCAAACTGGGGCATGCAGACATCCTTAAACAAACTTTAACTTTTGATGCGGTACAGAATTGTTCTTTTTTCTTTCTTTCTTTCTTTCTTTCTTTCTTTCTTTCTTTCTTTACATCATGCTGTAATTGGTTCATGTGTCTCTTTCAACAGTGCATAAAAAAAAATCAATGACTGGGCAAAAATAATTTATACACGTTTATTTTTGCACCCATTGTTGCGGAGAACAATAGCACAACAAGGGAGACACTTTAACACGAGTGAATGAGGCACACAATGATTTATTTTCATTTATTGAGATTCCACAGCTCTTCTGGTCTTAGGCTAGGGCAGATCCTGGCAGTGTGCACACAGTCATCAGTGGAGC